GGGGGGAGCCCCCCCGAGAGGCCCCCCCCCCCCGTGTACACAATTCTTTGAAGGGGGGAGACTTTCCACAGTGACCCCTTCACACCCACAGCGAGCCCCAGGGAAGGGGGGTGACCCACATACACAATGAGTCCTGGGACTGTGGCGAGCTCCTCTGAGAGACCCCCCCCCCCATGTACACAATTCTTTGGAGTGGGGGGGGCTTCCCTCAGTCACCCCTTCACACCCACAGGGAGCCCCGGGGAAGAGGGGTGACCCACGTACACAATGAGTCCTGGGACTGTGGAGAGCTCCTTTGAGAGACCCCCCCCCATGTACACAATTCTTTGGAGTGGGGGGGGGAGACTTTCCACAGTGACCCCTTCATACCCACAGCGAGCCCTGGGGAAGGGGGTGGACGGCCACATACAGAAGCCCTAGGACTCTGGGGGGCTCCCTTCAGTGACTCCCCCTATACACAAGAAGCCCTGGGAGTACATGGGGGCTTCCCTCAGTGATCCCCATATATGCACAGCGAGCCCGGGCAGGAGGGGTCCCCTCAGTGACCCCTTCATAGTAATAGTGAGCCAAGGGAGGGGGCTCTGCTTGGTGACCCTCCACGTACACAAGGAGCCCTGGGAATACAGGTGTCTCTCCCCCACCCCTCATATACACAAGGAACCCATAGAGTATGGGGGCTTCCCAACATATACACGAGCCCTGGGAGTAGGGGGCGCTGCTGTCCGTGACATCCCCATACACACATTGAGCCCAGAGACTGGAAGGGGAGGGTCTTCTCCATTAATCTCAATGCCCAGGGACTTGGCAACCAATGGACCTCCCCCCCCCCACCTCCGCCACCCAGAAAAAAACACAATAAATCCAAGTACCTGGAAGCAGGATTTCTTGTCAGTTACCCCCAACACACACATTGTGTAGGGAGACCTCCTCTCACCTAACCATAGGATACTAGGACTGGAAGGGACCTCAACAGGTCAAGTCCAGGCTCCTGCCCTCACAGCAGGTCCAAGCATCATCTAGGACAGGTCATCCCTGCCAGATGTTTATGTAATCTGCTCTTAAATACCTCCAATGACGGAGATTCCACAACCTCCAGAGGCAGTTTATTCCGGTACTTATCCATCCTGACAGGAAGTTTTTCCTAATGTCCAGGGTTTGACAAACGGTGGCGAAAGCCGCTTGCCAGCCCCACACTGTGCATGCTCAAGAGCCGCATTGCGCATGCGCACATCGCCGGTAAATGGGGCATGCGGCTGAAATCTAGTCACCACGGGCGAGTAGATTCTATAGTTTGTCGAGCCCTGCTAATGTCCAACCTAAAACTCCTTTGCTATAATTTAAGCCCATTGCTTCTTGTGCTGTCATCAGAGGTTAAGGAGAATATTTCCCCCTCCTCCTTTGTAACACCCTTTTAGGTACTTGAAAACTGCTATCATGTCCCTTCTCAGTCTTCTCTTTTCTAAACTAAACAAACCTAATTCTTGCAGTCTTCCCTCACAGGTCATGTTTTCTAGACCTTGCATCATTTTTGTTGTTCTTCTCTAGACCCTCTCCAAGTTCTCCACATCTTTCTTGAAATGTGGTGCCCAGAACTGGACACAAACACTCCAGAAGAGGCCTAGTCAGTACAGAATAGAGTGGAAGAATTACTTCTTGTATCTTGTTCACAATGCTCCTGTTAATGCATCCCAGAATCATGTTTGCTTTTTTTTTTTGCAAGTGTCACACCACTCATTCATGTTTACCTTGTGATCCACTATGATCCCCTAGATCCCTTTCTGCAGTACTTCTTCCTAGACAGCCACTTCCTGTTTTGTACTGTGTGGCTGTGTCTAGACTGGCATGATTTTCCGCAAATGCTTTTAACGGAAAGGTTTTCTGTTAAAAGCATTTGCGGAAAAGAGAGTCTAGATTGGCATGGACTGTTTTCCGCAACAGCACTTTTTGCAGAAAAGTGTCCATGCCAATCTAGAACTTGCCAGTCTAGACACAGCCTGTATGTAATCACCTCTCAACTTCAGAGCAGATGGGTGGATGCCCTCTCATCTGTGCCCCACCACCCACTCTAGAAAGTGTAACACTTGATCTTCCTCTCCTTACCTGCTCGTATTTCCCTCAGAGAGCAAAGGGGGACTTCATACCCATTAACCACCCCCTAAAAAGGCAGAATAGTAATAGAGATGTAGCCGTGTTAGTCTAGTCTAGCTGAAACAAAAAACAGGACTATGTAGCACTTTAAAGACTAACAAGATGGTTTATTAGCTTTCGTGGGCCAGACCCACTTCCTCAGATCAAATTGTGGAAGAAAATTGTCATGACCATATATACCAAAGGGCTATAATCAAAAAAAGCAAACACATATAAAAAGGACAAATCAAATTTCAGAACAGAGGGGGTTGGGGAGGGGAGGTTAATGTCTGTGAGCTAATTATATTAGAGGTGATAATTGGGTAAGGTAATTAGCATCTTTGTTGAGACCCAGGCGTAAAGTGTCAAATTTAAGCATGAATGACAGTTCAGAGGTTTCTCTTTCAAGTCTTGTGTTAAAATGTCTTTGAATCAGGATGCAGGTATACAAGTCATTGAGACAATGTCCTTTCTGGTTGAAATGGCAAGAAACTGTTTTTTCTTTGTGATACTGTCTGATATCTGTTTTGTGCGCATTGAAACTCTTTCCAGTAAGGATTCCTACCACACCCACCTTCCAGTGCTGGGCTTTGTTCTCTACTGCTGGGATTGTCTGAGTGTGAAGTGTTAGGTAAAACTGTTAAAAGTCTGCACCATGAATGACATGGAGGGATGAAATGTCATTGATACTCATGTTGCAAAAAGAAATACAAATGACACAGTCCTTCATGACCAAGCGGACAGATACAGGCACTGAAATCTGTAGGGCTGCATGCCAGAGATAGGCCCCTAAAGAAGCTATGTCTTCACTATACAAAAAAAAATTTTTTTCACAAGAAGTCCAGGTGACAATGTAGTTTTGCCTCAATGTAGTTAGCTAATTTGGTATTCCAGTTGCCCACCTTGCCACTCACTTTGCTAGTCTGTGTGAGGGGGCATCTGCCCCACACAGGCTAAAGAAAGGTTAAATCCAGTCCTGGGAGAGGGCTGGGACTGTGGAGTAAGCAGCTGACGAAGATACAGCCAATTAGAGCCCACCTGGGGCTGTATAAATAAGGACTCCTGGAAGCAGGGGGCATTTATTCACTCTTGCTCCAGCTGTGCAGTTAGTGGGACCAAACTGTCAGAGAAGCTAGAGGTGCAGGCAGGCAGGGCTGGGGAGCTCTGGCCAGGCAAACTCCCAGGGTGAGGCCTTGCTCTAAGGCCTGAGGCAATTAGGGAGGCAGCCAGGATAGAACAAGGCAGCAAGCCCACTCCTACTATCAGGCAAGGTGGGTATAGAGAATAGGGGTGGTTCCCTGGGACCTCCGAGTGTGAGGGTACCATGGAAGGGCAGTACACAGAGGCGAGGATGATGCTGTGTGGGAGAGATGTGGGTCCTAACACAAAGTGGTGGAGTAGCTAACAGTGGGTGAGACATCAGCAAGAAGGGGGCATTCCAGGGCTGAAGAGACAACATCTTAGAAAGTAGTCCTGATTTTGAGTGACCTAAGTTTTTGGCTGACCAGCGTAAGGCAACTCAAGTGCAGAGGTGCTGAACACCCCAAAAGTCTGTCACTTCATGTATGTCTACACTTACACTGGTTGGTGCAGCTGTGCATCAGTCTATAGTGAAGATAGTACTTATGGTTACAGAAGCCCTCTCATCAACATGGCATGTCTACACTGGGATTTTGTTGGGTATAACTGCATCATTCAGACATGGGGAAAATACCTGAGTGACACAGTTGTACTGACATAGGTTTGCAGTATAGATCTGGGCTCAAATTGGAGTTGTGGTTTGATTGCTCATTGCCTCTGAAAATGGAAAGAGTTTCCAAAGTTGGTCACCTTAAAATCAAGGCACCCAAAACATTAGTGGGTAGCTATTTCTCCAGGTGGTGTTTTTCTTAAAGCATCAGCTGCCAAGGGAATCACTTAGAATCTAAGATTTCATGTTAACAAAAAAAATTTCTGGCCCTCATGACTATGAAGAAACACTTTAAAATGTGATCCAAATGTAACTTAAACACTCAAACTGAAAGGCAAATAAAAAGGGCCTGACATGTTTTTTTAAAACTTGTGATTTTTCAGCTGATCACAGATTTTGAGAGGCCTCACTTGTGATTTTTGAACACTTGGGGTTGGCAATTCTGCTGAAAATGTAGGCCTGAGTGACTATTTGAAGGTCATTTTCAAATGAAACCGAAAGAGTCTCTCTGCTTCCAGATGTAAGATTTTATCCAAAAACGTTCTGAG